TAAAACGTCATCCAGGTAGGCAGTACAGTATTTATCAAGTGCATCATGCAGAATATGATTTATGTTAGTTCTGGAAAGTTGCAGGAGCGTTACAAAGACCGAATGGTGTGACAACCATTTCGTATAGTCCAAATCGTGTTATAAATGCCGTCATCCACTCATGTCCTTCAGAGATACGAATTCGATTAAATGCAGATATCACGTCTAATTTTGTAAAAAATTTTGCATTTGAGATTGAATCCAAAGTTTCGCGGATCAAAGGAAGTGTACATCGGTTTTTGATAGTAATATTATTCAGACCACGATAATCTTGGCAGATACGTACACCCCCGGATGGTTTAGCGGTGAGAAGGAGTGGTGCGGCAGCTGGGGAGGAAGATTCTCGTATGAAGCCTTTAGCTAACATTTCGTCGATCCATTTTTTGATAAATTGTAGCTCAATTGGGGAAATTGGTCTATTCTTATGGAAAGGAACCTGTTTTCCAGGTAGAAGCTCTATTTTGTGGTCCCAAGGCCGATGCGGTGGCAGAGAGTTTGCATTCTTTGGTAGAAAATGTTCGACATGATGATGGAATTCTGATGGCAGTTTAGACTTTATAACATCAATAGTCAACTCGCATTTGTTATCGAGGAATTTATCAATATCCGATTGATGGAGTTTTCGACGTAAGGATTCCAAGTTTTTAGGGTTATTTTTGACAACTGGGGCTTTAAATTCATCATTGGGGTAAACAGTTGACGAATTATTAAGCATTTTACTATGGCTACCTTCCATATTTGTTTTGAGCGGTTTATGTGTAGCTGGGTTGGATGATATTGTGGTAAGCGATACGGAAGGCGATGCACTCGCGTATGAAAACTGTTGGTGAGGATTTAATTTTGAGTGTATCTGTTTGAGGCAATTGTGGTGACAATACTGAGAATCAAATTTGAGTGTTAAAGATTTCCAATCACACACAGGGTTATGTAATTTTAACCGTGGTAAACCAAGGATAATTGGTTTACTTTTACTTAGTGTTGTAACAAAGAAAACTAGAATCTCTGAGTGATAGCCAATATGTAAACGGAAAGTAAAATAATGGGTTATGAAAGCTTGTGTTGTGCCATCAGCTAAGCGAACAGTACGTGGAGTGAAGAGGGGCTTGGTTTTAATCCCAAACTGCTTCACAATAGAATCGTAATCTGCAAGTGCCATGGCAGTGGAGCCACTATCAATTAAACTAGTTATGCAAAACATCACTGGATTTTGGTTGCGCGGGTCAGAAAGAGAAGAGTCAAGTAACATTGAATTTCTAGAACTTGTAGAGCATAGCTCCAAAGTAGAACTCTCTTGCAAAATACGTTGGACAGCCTCATCTTCATCCTGATACCAATTATACCCCTGGCGGCGACTTATGCCAAGGGTTGATCTTTTAATTCGTCGAATTGTTCAGATGTTGATGAATAAATATCGGAAATTCCAGTTTTTGTGTCATTTCCGGAAGTATGGTCATCATAGATTGCGCGAAGATTGGTCTAAGTTGGAGCCTTAAAGTACTGAGGGTTAAAATTATGGGGATATTGAGGATTAAATGGCGGGAGAAATTGATAATTAAAATACTGCATATGTGGGTAGTAGCCTGCAGAAAATGGTGCAGGTTGATGATATTGTGACTGATTTTTTACCTGCCCAGGGAAATTTCGATTGGAGAAGCTTAATGGGCGCTTGGGCATAGGAATTGGGTTAATTTTACGGTGATGATCTTTTGCTGTATGCCCCTTTTCCCCACAAGCAACACATAGACCATTATACATACGGAATTTTCGTTCTGTACCTGGCAATTTGACCTGGCTTAAATCCATTGGGTCCCCAATATCGGATGGTCCCCAGTCAGATGATGATTCTTTGGCAATAGGATCATTCTGATTTGTTGAGCTTTGAGGTGATTGTAACCTAAAAATATACTCCTGTTGTTGAAGGTTACGAGCAATACAGCCTAACATATCAATCCAGCCTAAAAAGTCGTCTGGTCCAGGAAGATTAACTTGATTATCAATTACATCACTAATTTTTCGATTTAGCCGTTTTCTTAGCATATCCACCTTAGTCCGATTGTCATATCTAGCCCTTTCAGCATATGGTCAAAGTCCGCCTTGAAGTCTCCGTATCGACGCTTTTCTTGAAACAGCGTATCCAAGGCATTTTTAGCTGTCTGGGAGGTGTCAAGGAGTATGTAACGCTTATCTAGAATATGCCATAAATCCCCAATAGATGTCCATGGCCAGTTCTCAGGTTCACTTGGGTGTAAATTCATTGCCTGGACTCCATCTTTTACTGCCTCCCAGGCTTTCCCGGACAGTTGGCTTGTCACATAAGATATTCGATAAAAAGATCCGGTGAAACAATTTCTATCTATCAACAAAATTTGCTGAATGTGTGTTTTCCAACTTTCGTAAGCTAACTGTCGCTTCTCTGTACTTTGCTGTAATGCAGAGAACTTATCTGGATCAGATCTGGTTCTACGGGGTCTAGCATCTACGGAATCGGAGGCTTTGGTAGGCTTTAAATTCGAATCATCTTGAGCACGTTGTATATTTCTCTCATCTTTAAGTGCAGAAATTTTATCATTTAATTCTGCAATCTTGTTGTCATCTGCAGAGCGATACAAATTGGCTTTTGATAGTTCTGAGTTTAGAGATGCAACTTGTTGTAGACTCGCATTTAACTGGTGGGACTAAGACTGCTCCAAATTTAGAATTTGCCGGTGGGCATTCGCTAGATTTGAATTTAGCTCAGTAACTTGCTGTTGCGTCTTGGTGAGAGCTGATTCAGTTTCCGTGAGCTTAAAATTACTCGACTTAAATTGTTCTTCGAAGTCACCAAACTTTGAATTGAAGCATTGAAGTAAACTGCATAACATTTTTTTCTCGGGGGACTCGGTAGTAGATACAATGGTCGTTAGTAAATCAGTGAGATTCGAATCTTCTGGGAAGTGATGATCTTCAATGGCAGCGCTCAAATTCGGCCAACTCTGCTGGAAAGCAGTGGTAATTTGAGTGACTCTGGGGTTGGTAGTCATGGTGAATTTGTACAGTATTTTTACTTTGATGAGAATGTATATGTAGATAAAACCAAAAAAAATAAAAAATCAGATTGCAACAGGATATGTCTTTGGGTTATATGCCGGGTCGCAGACAGGGTTCAGGAGTTTGATTTTGCTTTTAATATTGGATCTAAATGCGACGGGGCACAATTTAAGATCTCACAAAGTGTCACGGTGGGTTACGGGTCAGGTTCTGGTGGTTTAATAATATAACTACGTTGTGCGATAGTAAGGGAAGATTATCTACAGGAGGGATCTATACTAATATCCTAGTGTACGGCGCTAGCTCTTAGTCCCGTGACAGCAGGAAACAATACATCCTTTGTACCCTAGTGATCGTTGCGAAGATCTTTACAAGAAAAGTGATGGATACAAGAAGAAACCAGAGTGGAGGCATACGGCAAGAGGGGGCATGGAGATTAACTCAGACGATGACTCCGGCAGGATATACATCCCGAAATGGGCGAAAGAAACACCTACCGAAAGTGTTGAAATATGATATATCTTGGAATGCCAAGAATAACTTATTAGTAAGTCCGGCCAATGTGACTATCAAATTCCCCATTCTATATCACTGTTATCAATACATCCTTCACCGAAAGTTTAATGCGCATTAGCGTTTATTTCACACTAGAATTCCAGCGGATGACTATGTCTTAAATGCAGGTTACAGTTTTCTCGTATCTATTACCGATACACATGTATTTAGCTTTATATTCCTGGCCCATATATGTGTATGTTGTTGGAAATATCGCGCAATGTAATGGGCGCAATATTCATGGAACGAAAATAGAAGTTGACTAAAAGAGTGTCATGACCGGATTAAGGCTAAAAGTGTGGGAGATATGCGCTACAAGTACAAGTGTAAGCGACACAGAGCCTAAGCCACAGCATAAACGAGCGTGGCGCCATCTAGGCATAGAAAACCCCCAATAACCTCTTTGTGCTCACGCCATACAGCCGCTCATATGTCCAATAGGTAGCCTGAAGCGCTACCATATTACCTACTCCAACCTCTTAAATACACACGAGATCGTGTCGAGAACCTAGACGAAATGGAGGGCCCATACGTCCACAACACTCCGTGTCTCCATTTCCAACATATGTACATAGATCTACATCTACATGAATCATAGCTTACGATCCATGGAGATTGATAAATACTGGTCAAAAACCACAGTTGATAAGATATGCGAACACGCAATCTCACTCTTATCATCTCGGTTTTACTCTGAACCATACATCTAAATACAATTGTTTCCACTCGGATCTTCCTCTCACAACCTCATACAAGACTTACTGCATTGGTCTAACCGCTGACACTGATTCCGCTACAACCTCCATCTTCGCTCAAGCTCATAATTTTAACAGAAAGTACCAATACCACGAGAGTACTGATGGATCTAGGTAAACTCTATATAAATCCTCAAGATAAGTTCGGAGCCAGACACTATGAGGTGCTCGAAAATAAGCTCAGGATCTTATTCGAAAAATGCCGGATTGCCGGAATTGGAGAAAACCTGTTCAAAGATGCTTTCTCCACAATGCTACGAGATGCCGCGCATGACTACTACTTTAGGCACCTCGCTGAACATCTTGAAGATCTGACTTTTAACGAGATGGTCCACAAGGTGAAGAGAAGATTCCACACGAAAACAGAAGAGCAAAATTACCTGACTGAAAGTAATTAAAGATAATGCTGACAAAAACATCCTCCAATGTCTTGACTTGGTTATCAAAAAGCTCCAGAAAATATATGAAGCTCTCAGATGTAACTACGGTCACAAAAGCCACAGTCTCGCTGGACAATTGTACGCCGCGTGCCAAGGCGTATCAGCCTGTGCACAAGCAATAATCTGCCCCCACGACGGATTTGAAGATGCCTGCGCTGAGCTTCGATCTACTGTAAAGGTCCACATGGACTGTACTCTACGGAATGCAGGGCTATTCCATCAGACAGAAGAACAATTCAATAATGAAGAAGTGGATAATGGACAGTACTTTGTCGACCGTAGGTATGGTGAAAAGCTAGGCTATGTACGAGGGGGACTTCATGCAAGAGGTGGCCGAAGTAGTTTCAAGGGTGGACTTCAAGGTGGATCCGGTAGCAATAACGACCGCCGGAAGATTTGCTTCGTGTGTAAAAAGGTGGGGTGCTGGACCACACGGCACAAACCAAGCGATCGCCAAGGAAGAATCAATAGCTGGCGGACGTACATGGCTGAGAATGATCTCCCCGCTGACAATGATACCCTGGGCATGTTCATCATCGACTATGAAGACTACGAAGTGAACCAGAATGATGATAAAACTGATCTTATTGGTATGTTTAACATGTGGTCCGAGGACAAAACTGAGCAGTTCCTCACAAGTTACGGTACAATCGATGGAAGGAGTACGGCTGTCCTGCTCAACAACAAAGCAGCTAAACATACTCTGACAGCCAATGACCCATTCGAATCGGCCCAATCAGAGCCGAGCTCCATTTTTCAGTTTCACAGCCGTTACGATTCAGAGATCTTCCAGGGGATTTTGCCCGACACAAGAGCGGCAGGGCTATCGACAGCTGGAGAAAACCAAGTCAAAGCTCTCCAAGTGATCATCTCAGAGCTTGAGATTGACACAAGAACAGCAGGTAATCATCGTATAACTTTCGGTGACAGCCCCCATGTGGCAACCCTCGGAACAGTCGATGTGAAAATCCCGTTCGGTACAATCATATTTACAGTAGTTCAGGCAAACACCACGTTTCTGCTTTGCTTGACTGATATGGAAAAACATTGTGTGTTTCTTGATAATACGCATGATTTACTCGTCCATACAAATAAACAGGGCAAGCAAGAAATATACCCCGTTGTACGCAAATGGGGACACCCTTTCTTCCTTGACCTGGAAGCCACTGCAGTAGCTTGCCGCCTGACTGAAATCGAGCTTCGGCAGCTCTATCGTCGATTCGGTCATCCAGCCGCAGACAGACTTAGCAAGCTACTCTCGCGCGCGGGGTACGATGATTTTAATGAAGATACTTTGCGACAAATAAACATGTTCTATCACCAGTGTCAGATCCATTCGAAGGCACCTGGCCGTTTCCGCTTCACGTTGCGAGAAGATATGAACTTCAATTTTCGCTTGATCGTCGACTTCATGTACATACAAGGCAAGCCAGTTCTTCATGCAGTCGATGAAGCCACCGCGTTTCAAGCAGCAAGGTTCCTACCCAATATGACCGTCAAGGCGACCTGGGAAACACTCAGAGCAATGTGGATTGACACCTAACTGGGACCTCCTGACTTCATCATCACAGATGCAGGAACTAACTTGAAGGCGAGTGAGTTCGTTGATAACGCTCGGCTACTAAGCAAAAATGTCGAGGAAGTCCCCATCGAAGCACATCACTCGATCGGGAAGGTCGAGAAATACCACGGGCCGGTAAATCGAGCTTATGAAATCTTGTCAGGCGAGTTACGAAACGTGGCAGCAGAGAACATCCTCCAGATGGCCGTCAAAGCGGTTAACGACACCGCAGGTCCAGACGGGCTTGTCCCGACACTGCTCGTCTTCGGCGCGTACCCACGGATAACCCAAACATCCCCACCATCTACAAAAATTTCACAGCGCGCCGAGGCTGTGAAGAAAGCAATGACTGAGATCTACAAGCTTAAAGTCAGGCGACAAATGGAAGATGCACCCGGCATTCGAAACGGGCCTAAAATTCTCGATACACTACAGCTCCCTCCCACAAGCGACGTCCGTGTGTGGAGAGAAGGTGCTGGATGGACTGGACCTCACAAGCTTCTCGCACGGAACGAAGACGATACGGCATGTACCTTCGAGGTTAACAGCCGACCAATTACCTTCCGGATTAAATCAGTTAAGCCCTACTATCATGATCAAAATACTGAGATTTCGGCAGCGGGAATATCTATCGAAGAAAGCCAGGCATTCCAGCACGATGACGACAACTACGACTATAACCCGGATGCACATGCCCCTGCAGCGCCACGTCGCCGCGGTCGACCAAAAGGATCCAAGAACAAGCCGATTTCCATCCCAGATTCAACATCATAGTTTACTGGCAACATGTTCTTGAGTGACAAAGCTAAAGCTGACGCAGTTTTGGCCGTGAAGTTACGCAAGGAAGGAGAAATACTGACCCCAGGAGCTCCGTTTGAGCTATCAGATCAGGCAGAAATCGAAGCACTCATTGGTAATGGTGTTTTCAAGTTCGAGCCGTATGACGCAGTTAAGCATGGTAGCTCAAAGATGTTTAAAGCAAGGTTGGTCCATGAAGTCAAAGGAAAAGGAACAGATAAGCCATACGAGAAGTCTCGACTCGTTGTAATGGGATACAACGATACAGAGAAACGTCAAGTACTTACACAGAGTCCCACTATACAACGCGCTAGCCAGCGTATTATCCTTGCGCTCACACCAACATTATGTAAGGCGACAACGCTGACTATATGGCTGAGGGATATTACCCAGGCATACGTGCAGTCAGATACCGTCCTCCAACAGGAGATAATTGCAGAGATCCCAATCCAATATGTCATATTTTTCCACCAGACGCCATCATGAAAATTATCAAGCCTTTGTACGGACTAGTAGAATCTGTAACGCATTGGTGGGCTACATACTTCTGCCTCCACTGTGAGAAGCTACTTATGGAGACATCAGCGTTCGTGTCACGAAACAGGTCGTGATTTAGTCAATCAAACGAGGGAAAGTAGTCTATTCAGATTCTCTATGAAGAATGAGAGGTAAATACAGAGGGAAAACACGTTCTACACATATGCCAAGTGCGCGCTAATATGCGAGGGATCGACATTAGTTGTGGACCCGTAACATCACCTCTCTCCTCTCGGCTCTGAAGTTTCAAGTCGTTTTTTTCTTTCCAGATATTCTCTTGTTTTTATTTTTGCCTCGGGATCCCGTATAGCTACCTGTATCTGGATCACCTACATTATCACCCTCCCCGTACTGTTGGACGAAGTCGCGGAAAGCGTCTGTTAGAACGAAATTTTCTCGCGGCTCCCAGGATGTTTCTTTATAGTCTTTGTATTTTACACATAGTAGCCTTTTACCATTAAATTTCTCAGCTCTTAAGATTTTGTCAACGGCGTAAAGAGGATGTTTTCCGTCAAGCAGTGGCGGGGGCTGGCTGTCGTCTGTAATTTGAGAGGGTAGGGGATCATCAGGATCCCGACGGAGGAGGTCCACAAAGAATCTCGGGTGAATGCCGCTAGGGACATCAAGTTCGTAGACATCTGGAGCCACAACTCTTGTAATTTTGTATTTGGCATTTGTCCAAGAGAACTTCTTTTTAAGTTGTGGAGTTGTAACGTTTTTGAGGTTCAGCCAGACTTTGTCCCCGACTTTTAAAATCTCAGCTGGTTTTCTTCCTTTATTGGCATTGTGTTCCATAATTTGCTGTGCAGTTGCCATGGCTGCCTTAGCAAGTTCTTGACCATCGTAGAGTCGATTCACGAAAGCATTAGCTCTGGATTTTGGGTCTTTAGTGGAGCCGGATTGAGGGGCTCGACGTTGGATAGGGTCGAGGTGGTAACCATGGGTCAAAAAGAAAGGACTAAAGCCAGTTTTGGAGCTGTCCCTATTGTTAATCGCCACCGTAGCAGAAGGGAGGAGTTTAGCCCAGTCATTTTGGGCATATGAGATATAGGCACGTAGGTAAGTTAGAACTTCCTGGTTCATTCTTTCAGTCCCTCCATCGGTTTGGGGGTGAAAAGCTGTGGAGAGGCGTTGTTGGATACCCACAAGCTGGCAAAGCCGCTGCCAAAAACGGCCGACCCAATTAGAGCCTCTATCTGAGGTTAACGAATTTGGAAATCCATGGTATCTCCAATGGCTTATTACAAAACGCTCAGCGCATTTTTCAGCCTCCATGGTTTCCATTGCCTCAAGTGTGGCGCCTCCTAACAGGCGATCGTGTATGACCATAAGAAATCTTTCATTTTTGTCTGTTAAAGGGAGTTCTGTCATAAAGTCTAGTGCTAGTTCACTATGAAAACGGTCTGGTATGGGCAGAGGTCGTAATAGTCCTTGAGACGACTGGCGCCAAACTTTAGATCTCCCGCAGACATGACAGTTTCGTACAAATCTCCTTACATCCTTGTACTGTTGAGGCCAAAAGAAGCTCCGTGCTAAAATAGACAATGTCACTTCGCGCCCCGGGTGACCAGTCACATGGGAATCATGCACTCGTTGTATTAATGCTGTACGGAGGGGTTCCCAGTCTGGGACCCACAGAGCTCCACGGTAAGTTAAGGCAAATTTATCATCGAAGGTACAATCTGGCATTTGTATAGAATTTCCTACTGAAGAGGGTAGGGAGCGATCTTCTTTAGCAACGCTGGAATAAATTATTTTAAAGGATGGATCCATTTTCGTTGCTTGATCCCATAATTTTTGAATATGTATTTCGTCGAAGATATCTTTTCCCTTAGGAGGTCCTTCAACGACCGTAACTCTCGACAATGGCGGCGCCTGGCCAATAGGTTTCAGATCTTGGTTTGGCAATTGAATTATACTGGCTTTTGCCCGTCTCCTAGTTTCCATTACCGAAAGATTTAAGTGGATAGGTGGCTCTTCTTTAGCTAACGGTGAGACCCATCTATGTTTAAGGAGTTGGAACTCTCTCCTTTTCAATCTTTCATCGTTAAAATCTTTTGGCTTAAATTCTGTCTTTCTTGACAGCAGGTCTGGTTTAGTTGATTCTATTCCTGGTCTAAATTTAATTTCGAAATTGTAGTTGGAAAGTTCTTCTGCCCAGCGAACTTGACGCTCGGACAACTGCCTAGTTGACATGAAATAACGAAGGTTACGATGGTCAGAAAGGACAAGGAAAGGAGTACTGACACTGCGTAGCTCACCTCGAAAGTGTTTAATTGTTGATAGAATAGCTAGCAGTTCTTTGTCGTGAATCTCGTAGTTGGATTCAGCTGCGGTGAGCTTCCTTGAAAAAAAACCCACTGGCCGGAGGCGGCGTTTTTCATCCATCTGTGAGACTACGCCCCCTATGGCATACCCAGATGAGTCTGCTTCCAAAATTGTCTCCGCCTCTGGATCAAATATTTTGAGGACAGGTGCGGTAATTAACAGTCCTTTCAACTTATCGAAAGATTTTCTTTGGGGCTCTTCCCATACCCAAGCTGCACCGTTTTTGGTGAGGTTATTTAAAGGTTCACAAATGGCAGAGAAATTATGGATGAATTCGCGGTAGAAATTCGCGAACCCTAGAAAAGAACGAACAGCTGACACAGTTTCTGGCTCTTCCCACTTGGTTATAGCAGATACCTTTTCCGGATCTACCTTAATGCCATTACCGATTTCAATGATGAAACCCAAGTATTTTATTTCTTTAACGCCAAAAGCACATTTGTCAATGTCCATGCGTAGACCCGCAATTTTTAAAGCGCCAATAACTTTACGGACTTTACCATAATGGTCTTGCAGGTCTCCGTCAGTATAGATTATCACATCGTCTAAGTATGCAGAACAAAAGATGTCCAGATACTCGCGCAAAGTATTATTAATAAACCTTTGAAAAGTTGAAGGCGCTCCACAAAGACCAAAGGGGCATACTAGCCATTCAAAAAGACCTTGTCTGGTACGGAAGGCTGTTTTCCATTCGTCCCCTTCCTTGATTCGCAATCTGTGGAATGCTGCGCGCACATCTATTTTAGTGAACCAACGTGCTTTAGATAGTTGGCGTAGGGTCTCTCGGATGAGCGGTAGAGGATAACGGTCTTTTTTTGTAATAGCGTTAAGACCGCGGTAGTCAACGCAAAACCGCAGGCCACCAGAGGGCTTTTTGGCAAACAATACCGGTGAACTAGCAGGTGAAGCACTCGCGCGTATCCATCCCTTATCTAGGAGATCTGCTAAAGTTTTGCGAAGAACTAACAATTCTTCTCTTGACATTTCATAAAGAGGCCCATACGGCGGTTTCTTTTCAATATTTTTATCATCTTTTTCGAGGTCAATTTCCATATCGTGTCCAGGTCGATGAGGGGGCAGGTCACTTGAGCTATCATCTAGGAAAACCTTTTCGAGCCCATGCAGTTGTCCAGGAAGTAACCCACGGATTGATTCAACAGTAGGTCTGACACGCGTTTCACTTAGTTTTTCTAACGCTTTATTTATGTCCGATATGGTGACAGATGCAAGGACAAGTTCTTCCTTATTGTTACGCGCGCGCCTTGTAAGGGCAGAAAATTCATGCGCAGACACTAATTTAGCTTCTCTTATATATTTTG